GCCATAATTTTTGGCCCCCATACCTGCTGTTACTCTAACTTGCATCACAGCCACGCCGAGTGCTGATTCTTGCTATGTAGCCAGTCAGTGTGTATTTCATCCTCCCACTATTTTTGCCAGGTAAATGCCATGTATTAGCTGGGTCACACATACGGTGCTAGTTTGAGATTGCCATAGCCCCCACCTCCAGAGAGTGTGAGAAGTGAGAATTTTAAGCAGAGCACATGTCCTCAGAGAGGAGGAGGGCAAGGAAATAAGGTAATAGAAAAGTGAAAGGGTCAGGAACCTTGATCTTATTAGTTGGAGTTGTTTAGATGAGAGGAGCGGGGATGAGGGTTGGGGAGACAGGACATGAGGTGTCAGTGTGGGTAGCGGTGCGGGTTTGGTCATGGTTCTGCTTCCCATGCAGATAATTTGCATGTGTTGATACACGCTCATAGCTGCTCAGTGCAGATTATCTCCTTGCAGCATAAGGGAAGGGATTGCGAAGCGGCATAGCGTAATCACCGAACATCTGGCATTCCACAGTAGATGCTTTTCATCTCCCAGAACTGAGCCAGGACTTTCAGTTTGGTAAATCAGAGTACTTGTAGGTGATGTGATAGGTGAGTGCAGCTTGGGGCTATGCAAGTGGGTTGTCAATAAATGGAAAAAAATTAGGTAATTAACTGGTAGAGTTTTAAGAGTCTAGGATTTTGCAGCATGCAAGGGTGAATATGAGCCACTAATGCTACGCTAAAGCAATTTGAATTATGTCCTCTGTGCATAATGGCTGAGATCCCTCAAGTACTGAGCATCCTCCTCTGGAGTGCAGAGTTTCACCAAATCTCTGCTGACTTTATTGGGAACTGAGGGCAACAAACTGCTCTCCAGTTTGAGCTCTTCTTAAGCACCACAGTTTCTTGAACCTTTGTCAAAGTTTTTAGAGGCATAATAATGTATCAGTGAAAACATATGCAGTGAAATTACTTTGTTTCTTTTATTTTTGTTACAGTTTAATTCATTTTCAGGGGAGAAGTAATATACTCACTGAGCCTGATTTTTAATTTGCTTATGCTAACACAAATAGGATGAGAGTGATGCCTGTAGAAGATACCAATTTGCTTTGTGAGTAAGCAAATGTCATAATTGCAATCCTTATTTTTTTATAAAATCTATTTGGCATGACATAAAGGTTGAATTCCTTCCATTTTTTTCTTCCTATAGCATTTGAAAAAATTAAATTGCATATGTATTTTAAGCTTATATTCATAATTGCTTTAGATACTCACTCTCCTTTTTACAGCACAAATTTCAATATAGCCAGGAGCATACACACAAACCTGGAAACCTAATCTTCCTGCATAGTCAAATATACATTTATTGGATAGCTCAGAGCACTTATTTTGGGTAGTAGTTAGTTTTCTCACTTCTGTATCCAAATCACTTTCTCAACCTTCTTATCTGTAAAAGGGAAGTAAGAACACTGTCCAGTTTCCCTGACAGGGAGTTAAGTACTTAAAAAAAAATGGTGGTGGTGCAGGTAACAAAACCAAATAGATAATATTTGCTTTTTCAATTTCTGTTTGTATAACTGGAGTTGAGACCAAGAATTTTTTTGTATTGTTTTATACCTTGTAACTTAGTGACGTTACAGATTTTAGGCTTCAACAGGAAAAAAAAAAAAAGTATTTTATATTTGCATTATTTCATTTGTACTAGCACCTTAGAGGGCTGTGGGCTAATATGTTAGATACTACATTAGTTTGCCGTAAATATTCCAATATATAAACCAGGGAAAATCAAGTGAATGCAGGAAACAGATGGAGAATTACAAATTGGTAACCAGATTTATATGACCTAAATAAAAAAAAAAAATCCTAAATATGTTTTGCTTTTTAAAGTAATTATCTCAATTTTTAAATAACATTTTTAACCAGTTTTCACAAATACAGGAATGTTACAATTGAGTATCTCAAAATAACGTTAATGTTGCCATTAGTTCATTAATTTCAGGAAGAGCAGGATTTTACTTATGTTTCAAGCAAAATGCATACAGGTGTGTGTATGTTCCATTAAAATTGAATTTTGATTGGAGTATAATGTTTTCTGTGATGTCCTAGTATAAAACAGATTGTGCATATTGTCTAATTTTTTTAATACTTATATATTTTTAAAAGATGTCCTGTAAGTTAGTAGGTGAAATATTCACCCTGGCAGGGGTTGTATTTGAAAGGATATTAGTGGTATATTCCTATATGAAAACAATTTAAGAGTTTTCAGTTAAAACCTGCAATCTGATGTTTCTAAAATAGATATTTAGAAAAGAGTATTTTTATTTATCTCAGAAACAGACAAACATATAACACATTAATCCAACTAATCCAAGATATAATTTTCTGAAATGCATCATAATTTGTGTTTTGTTTGTATGGCTGAGTACCAAAATATTTCTGGACAAGGTGGGAGTGGATGGGTATGGAGGAGATCATTAAAGAATGATCTTTCCTCTGACTAGACAGATAATTTTGTCAAACAACCAGAGATGTTAGTGGTAAACCAAATGAACTTTTCTGATGCCAAGTGAGAAAAGTGGTAGTTTCTTACTGAGAAAATCCTCTTGTTGCATACAGAACAGTTCCTTCTTAATTTTGTGGCTGACTTAAACCATTATTTACACCGATACACCGATCCTTTAGAGTAATCCTAGCTGTATTACAGTAACCTGGATTTTCATATGTTGCATGTGTAGCTATGATATTACATCTGCTACAGTGCTGCCCTAAAATTAAATATTCTAGTTACTTTGCAATCACATGTATGGTTATGAGAGCCTATTTTCATACCCTGTTATTCTGAGGTGATTCTCTTAAACTTACATAAGTACTTGTACCTAACATGGTGAGAGCTGTGCACATTGGTTATAAAACCAAGCAGGATCTGGCAAATCACAGTTGAAAAATCTCCCAAAAAAGCTGTTAGTATATCCTAAATCAGTGGAATAAGGTAAATGTTTTCTATCATAAGCAGCACAAAATCATAATAGTGAAAGCTGTGCCATGCAATAAAAGATTTTCAGTTTTATTCAGTTTTCCCAGGTGACTCTGTTTTTATAAAAATTCACATTTTTGAGTGTTACTTTTAAAAAAATAACAAACCCAAAACCAAACCAAACAAACAAAAACCTTAAATGTATATTTAACAAAAATCTGAACATTCCTTATATTTAGCAATTTGTTAATACATTTTGTATCTAGATCCCAAATACCAAATCAAATCTGAGAATGGTTTCCTTCTTTTTCTGATAGAGAGACTAAAAAAGAGCACCTCAAAATGCCAGATAGTTTGAATTAAATTTTAAAATTACTATGATGTGTCCTGACTTAAAAATGAGTGTGTCTATAAATATATATATAAAGAACATTTCAGTGTGTATGTGTATAAAAAATATGTATCTATGTATATACACATATTCAGATGTTTGTGGGTTTATAGGATTATTTAGTATATGGGTGAGCTAATTGTTTTTTCAATACTTACTTTCATGTTACCTTTAGAATAAGTCAGCACCTAATATTTTTTTTATTCCATAGAATATCTTTTGTTTTGATGTCAGTGAACCTGAAATTCTAAAGAAGTTAAAAAATCTCTACATGCAGTAAAACAATTCAGTGCAAAATACAATATGATGTGTTAGAATTTTTAATTTACATATTGTATAAGTGGAAAGTATAAACATTTCTTAACTACAGCATGCTGTATTTTCAAAGACTTGATTTTGGTGCTGTTGTAACAGCTATACATATCTAAAATGGGTAAGACTAGAAAAAGGTTATTTAAAGGGCATGCATTTTTATTTATAATAAGCTTGACTTAATAATGAAGCAGTAACATGAGAATGTTACTAATAAAACTTTAATTGTGTTTGTATTGACTCATTGCTGAGATTTTAGATAGCATTTTGGTGAAAGGGTTGACAAATTCAAAAGTGTTCCCCCTACTTGGATGCATGGATATCGGTAGGGTACTAAAAATGTATTTTTGTAAAATAAGATGTCATATTAATTCAATATCATGAAATAGATGGTACATTAAAACTTTGAGACACATTTGTAAAATGTATATCAAAACAAAAGCTATGAAAATTATGTATAAATACTGAATTTTTAACTTGGGTGTCATTCTTCACTCATAGCAGTAAGTCAATAAGGAATAAACTTGTTACATTAATGAGGTTGTATCAGTTTGAAACTTGTTTAAACAGGAGGAAAGGTAGGATTTATAGGCAAATACACTTCATTTGAAGATTTTCTGATGAACTTTTTAAGGTGTACAAATGCCATATTTTATTCTTCACAAATCTTCAGCATTTAGATACTCTCTCCTGCTGCCCTTCATTTCCATAGGCTGAATAATAATACACTGTAGCACATAATGAATTTCTGTATCCTAATGTGGGTGACAGGTTGAACAATTACGATCATGTCCTGTTCAAGACCAACTATTTTGTTTGTCCATGCTATACCAGATTTGCTTTAGCCAAGTGGGCTTTTTTTAATTATTGTTACTACAGATGTTTTAAGGGAAGGTAAAGAATTTCAGACACATTCTGTCTAAGAAGTTGGTTTGCTACATTAGCCTGGGAAGAGAGGAATCAGATGAAACCACTCACTTCGATACAATCTAAGACAATTTTTCCATGCGAGCATAATACCTGCATTTGCTTAATCTTTTGTCTGAAATGTACTATGCTGAAAGCAGTATATTCTGTGGGAGAATGATAAATATGATTTTCTTGTTATTTTCTCTTTAATTCTTTGTATTGTACATTTTAAACAGATGCAGAGCACTAAAAAGCGTGATGAGCTGTATTTCTTTTTAATATTTTTTTAACCTTTTCTTTTAAAAACATGGTAACTAACTTGCTTCATTCTTTTCCTTCCTTTTTTAGGGTAGCAAAATATTGTAGTGTTTATGCACAAAGCAGAAGTATTATTTATATATATTTTTTTTAATTACAG